TAAATGGCACTTCATATCAAAAAGGTTGCCGACCGCTGAATTATACTGACAGTCATTGTTGTTAAGCCCACGCCCTACGTCAGTCAACAGCACCATACACTGCAGCATCCAAGACGATTATAATGTTAAATCAACACATCTGTTAAGGTTAATATAACATTCATAAAGGTCAAAATGATTGAGGAACTGTTGTTTTATAATGTCATGGTTTTAACTGTATAATAAACCGACGAGCTTGTATGGACCATTTATTGTCAAAATGTCTCAAAAGTGTTTGCCATGAGGGAAAAGTGTGTGTTCCCCCCCTCCCATCTTTCTAGATGCTAACGCTTGAACAAAAACCATTTAAATTTCACTTAAAAAGAACAATAAATAGAGGATAAAAGAGGGGGTCATTCGTTTTATTTTTTACATTTAGGCAAACAAGATAAGCCAAGACTGTCACGATCTGTCTGTGTTGTTGTTTTGTCTTGTCTTTTTCTATCTTTGGACAGAACTTCTGTCACGGTAGAGCGAAGGAAGCAGGACCCAAATGCAGATTAAACTGATACACCTTTATTTCAAGGATACCGAAATAGAACTAGGACAGACAGAACACTCACCGGTGAACACAGTCAACAACAAAAGACGAACCGACAAAGACAGACAGAAAAACCAGAACTTAAATACACACAAGACTAATCACACAAACAAGACACAGGTCAGGAGGGAGGAGAAAACACAGAGGCACCAGGTGAACACAATCGGGTAATCAGGGAGGGAAAACAGACAGAAAGCAACAGGCAGGAAACGGGGGTGAACAATTTACAAAATAAAACAGGAAACCCAAAGATAGAAAAAGATAAGACAAAACAACAACACAGACAGATCGTGACAAAGACACAGTGATGCAGCCGAAAGCTGCGAAACATACAAACTACACCAGTGTCCGAAAAGGGGGGGAGCTTGGCTGCCCTAAAGAGGGGGGGGAGCTCCCCTGAAGGCCGACTGTTGAGATAAATAGGGGGAGCCCAAAAAAATCATGGGAGCCTGCCTGCAGACCTCCACTCTCAGTACAGGAAGGCACGATTCTGACGAACACGTTTTTTCCCCCGCCCCCGCTCTATTCTTTATCATCATCATCATCATCA